GAAAATGAACCTCCCCCACCCTCATTCAGATCTGGCGTTTGGAACTATTTTGGTATTCATGTGAAGTATGACCCTGATGGTAAGCGCATCATGGACAAAACTAAAACAGTATGTTGGATGTGCCACACAATGCTCAATTGGTGGGAACTAGTGCGTTAGCGCAGTTAGCTTGTTAACGTGTTGACGCCGTGCAGCCCCACACACGGGGCAATCCGCGGTAACTCGTTAACGGAGATTTGCCACCTTATGGCATTAATGTCATTTTAATATCACATACACATATACACATGATGTCCCTCAAGAAGACACTGAGAAAAAAATAAAGAATAACATTGAGACTGTAACTTTGCCTTAAGTCATTATTGATTTTGTTTCTTGACCTTGAGTCCATCCTCTGCCAAGCTGCACCTGTGATTCTGCGGCTGTTCAGTGATGAGCTGACAGATAAGTGAATCTTTTCTTGGATCTTATCCTCTGCATCCTTACCCTATCACCTCTGCCTCCCACAGGGCGCCAGCCTGCACTGTTGAAACACTATTTTTTTTCAGTGTTTCAACTGAAAAAATAGAATGCCATTGATCAAAACTAGGATGTCTTTGATCCAAAGTAGAATGCCTTTGATCCTTTGTGATGTCATCATCTTGCTGAGGGAAAAAGCCCTTAAGTAGGAGCTTTGCTCTGTTAAACTTTACTGCTTAACGGACCTTGACCTGACAGCAAGCAAATCCTTTTGTAGAGTTTTGAGAGAATTTCACGTTTCTCAGCAATTCACCGACCAAGCCGATACATTTCACCATGTCAGCTAACCCATCCTTCTGCTCAAATGAACTTGAAATAGTTGAAGGGAGCATTTTGGGAAACCACTACAAGGTAGAGGCTTTCCTCAGAGAAGGGGGCTTTGGTATTGTAGCCAAATGTCGTGATACCAAAACTAACCGAGCTGTGGCTATTAAAGTCAACAAGACCCGCCCTGATATTCTGCAACATGCAAAACTGGAAATTTTCATTCTGGAGCAGCTGCGAAGGTTGGATCCAGATGCTGCCAACATTGTTCAATGGAATGGCTTTTTCCACGACGGAGAGCGGGTTTGCCTAAAGTTTGAACTCCTTAATCAATGCCTGTGGGACTACATACGGAACCGGAAAAACCAGGGTCTCCCCATAAGCGAAGTCAGGCCAATTTTAGGTCAACTCACAAATGCTCTGTCCCACCTGGGTTCTGTGGGAATAGTGCACGCTGACCTCAAACCTGGAAACATCATGGTTGTGAACTGCCATGAGTCTCCCATCAAAGTCAAACTTATAGACTTTGGCCTCGCATGTCCTGCGTCTGCAGTGATGCCTGGTGACCGTGTGGGGACGGTTGGTTATAGTGCACCTGAGGTTATGCTTGGCCTTCCTTACAATGAAGCAAATGACATACAATACAATACAATACAATTTTATTTATATAGCACATTTAAAAAAACCACAGGTATGCCAAAGTGCTTCACAGAATGAGTTAAGAGCAATAATAAATACAAATATAAAGCACAAAATACAAATAAAATATACTGACAGGCGGGTGACATAACTAATCAATAATACACCAGGCATAGTAGGCACCAGTGAAGTCCACACACAATGCTGAAGGTTAAAACATTATAAACATTAACAAAATGATAAAGATAAGTTCCAGTACACTAAAAATGTGGGCTCTAGGAGGAGGGGAAAGCAAGGTTAAACAAATAAGTTTTTAATTGAGATTTAAAAGATTGAATTGAATCAGACGCCCGAATAGCTAGGGGGAGGTTATTCCAGAGGTAGGGTGCGACAGCAGCGAATGCGCGGTCACCTCTGGTCTTGAGCCGAGATCTAGGTCACACCAGGAGCATTTGGCCTGCTGATCTAAGCGCTGTCCCAGGGATATAAAAGCTGAGGAGATCCGTAAGATAGCTGGGCGCGGTGTTATTTATGATTTTAAAAGTGAGCAATAAGATTTTAAAATCAATACGAAATTTAATAGGGAGCCAGTGGAGGTCGGAAAGAACTGGAGTAATAGACTCAAACCTGCCAGTTCCAGTTAAAAGACGCGCAGCCGCATTTTGAACAAGTTGCAGTTTGTGAACAAGAGCAGATTGGAGACCAGTATAAAGGGAATTACAATAATCTAACCTTGATGTAAAAAGGCATGGATAAGTTTCTCCAGGTCCTTATGTGGTATGTAGGGTTTGGCTTTAGAGATTAGACGTAGTTGATTGAAACTCGATTTAACTACGGAGGACACATGTTTGTCCAACTTGAAGGAACTGTCCAAGACAACACCCAGGTTCCTCACAGTGTCAGAAAGGGAGTCAGCAAAGGGCCCAAAAATACCAGTTAGTTCAGACCGAGAGAAGGGAGTATCAAAGATTACAATTTCAGTCTTCTTATCATTTAGAATGAGAGAATTGCTCAGTAGCCAGTTTTTAACTTCATTCATACAATCAAAGAAGTGTTGCAATGATGACGTGACATCCTCAGCTAGTTCAAAATAGATTGGAATGTCATCCGCATAAAAGTGAAAAGAAAAGTTGTATTTATCAAAGATTCGGGCCAAGAGTAACAAGTATAAAGAGAACAGCATGGGACCCAGCACAGACCCCTGGGGGACACCAGAGGTAACAGGGGCAATGGAGGAGGCATAGGTACCCATGGTGACAGAAAAGGACCTTTCTGATAGATAGGATTTAAACCAGCTAAGGGCACTGCCTGTGATGCCCACCAGATGCTCAAGCCTCATTAAAAGGACATTATGGTCCACCAAATCAAAAGCAGAGGACAAATCAAGCAAAATTAACACCACAGGGCGCCCTGAATCAGCAATTGAGAGAAGATCATTAAAGACTCTCAGTAATGCAGTTTCCGTGCTATGGCGTGGCTCAAACCCCGACTGAAATTTTCCCCCGATATTATTTGCATCCAAATAGGTTTGAAGTTGGGAATGAACAATCTTCTCTAGAATTTTAGACAGAAATGGGAGTTTGGAAATAGGTCTAAAGTTAGCGAGGTCATTCTGATCAAGGGAGCTCTTTTTGAGTATAGCTTGCACTACAGTGTGTTTAAAAGCAGCCGGAACACAACCCGATAACAATGACAGGTTAATTCATGATAAAATACAGGGCCCGATAATGTTAAACCCATCTTTAATAATGCGAGATGGAAGGATGTCATGAGCAGCGTTTGAGTTTTTTAGGTGATCAATTATACCCTTAAGAGTAGGGAGCGAAACTGGATCAAACTGATTGAGGTTAGTAGAGCATCGTAATGCTGGGGCCTGACTCATCACAGGGGCGTGTGAGACTCTTAGAGATAAGATTCTGCCTGTAAAATGAGTTAAAAAAATTTCACAAAGGGCTAAGGAAGCCAATCTAGGCGTTTCAGGACAAGGATTGATCAATGAGTTAAAAGTCTTAAATAAAATACGAGGGTGATGACTGTTATCCGCAATGACACACGACAGAAAAGCCGCTTTAGCCAACTTAACAGATTTCTGAAATTCCAGGCGGGTCCTACAAAGGATATCAAAAGACACCTGGAGCCTATCTTTTTTCCACCGCCTTTCAGCCTGCCGGCAAACGCATCGTAAAGTGCGTAAAGAGTCATTTAGCCACGGCTGAGAGCAGCTTCTAGGCCTTTTTACTTTCATAGGAGCCACAACGTCCAGTAAAGAGGAGCAGGTAGAGAGAAAGGAGTTGGCAAAATCATCAACTGAAGAGGGTGTAGAACGATCAATGTCAGGGAGAACAGATTTAGAGAAAGCAGCTGAAAATTCAGCCACAGTCCCAGGATTGATAATGCGCACAAGACGTCGAGGACCCTCAAAGCTCTGGTCCAATTTGCATAGCTCAGCATCAAAGATGACTGGGAAATGATCGGAAATTCCAATGTTGCTGATGTCCCTGATACAAATGTCCAGTCCATAAGAAAAAATCAAATCAAGGGTATGACCTTTAAGGTGGGTAGGTGCATTAACCCACTGGATAAGATTAAAAGAGTCAACTAAGGCTAGAAAATCCTTGGCAAACACATCATCTTTGCAACAAATGTGAATGTTAAAATCGCCAGTGATAAGAACACGATCATAATTTAGGTAAATGATGCTAAAAAGTCACCAAAGTCGTTAATGAAAGTCTTATTATATTTCGGGGGACAGTAAATCACAACACAGAGAGTCAAGGGGGTAACAGCAAGTTCCAGCAGCTGGGCTTCAAAGCTAGGGAACATAGGGGAAGGCAGGTGCCGTACTCAGAATTTATTCCTAAAGACCACTGCCAGTCCTCCACCCCTGCCCAAAGGTCTCGGTGAGCTAAAAAAGGCACAATTCGGAGGAAGGAGCTCTGAGAAAGGGAAGGACTCACCGGGACGAATCCAAGTTTCCGTCATGAATAGTAAATCCAGTCCTGTAGCAGTAAAAAAATCGCTCACAATAAAAGTCTTATTAGTCAGCGACCTAACATTTAATAGCGCCATCCGAGTCGAAGACGCCGAGTCGCAGTTGGAAGCACGTCTCGGGCGACATAGGTTGCCATAGCACACGCCCCCTTTCGGAGGCTTAATCCAACATCGAGCCGGCGAGTAAACCACTGGGGCGGCAGGGCGGGCCTGGAACTCAGCATAGCGAATCCATCGATGCCTAAACAATCTAAAGGTAAAGTGCTCCCATAAAGTCGGGGGAAGGCGGAGAGCATCCACATCGACGTCGAAGCCAGCCACATACCGTGCCTTTAGGTAAGCGTTAATGCGGACACGGACACCACTCCGTTTACCCCTTTTCCTGTAGCATCTCCTGCGCGAAGGAAGCGGAGATCAGCGGTACGTTCCTGAGAGGTGATCCGTCCGCGGCAGACTGGTATCTCCTAAATTCCACCACGGGTCCGATCCATGGAAGTATGACCCGTAAGTATAGGGTGGCCGGAGACTTAGAAGAGTAAGCCGGTCATAGGTTAGCAATGTAGAGCCACCCGAATAGCATATTAGCAGAAAGGTAAGAAGCAGCAGAGAGCAGTGGAGACGGCCTGCCGAACACACTGGCACCATCTTGCACAAGATGACATGTGGTCTCTGGGGCTGGTAGCTGTGGAGCTTGGTACAGGCGTGCCACTCTACCCTGGAAATGAAGACTATGATGTTTTGAAATTCATCATAGAGACTCAGGGTCAGCCACCAGATCATGTTCAAGACTCTGGCGTGTACACTGAAGACTATTTCATTGAAGACAACGACAACCAACAGCGCTGGACATTTAAGACTGACCAACAATTTCAGTATGAGACAGGATATGAGTCCCTGGAGACAAGATACATAAAACTGACGCGTCTCGATGACCTCGAACAAGTAATGATGTTTAGACGAGGACCTGAAAATGGCCAACGTTTGTTTGTCAGCTTAATTAAACAGATGTTGGCCTTGGATGCACACCAGCGCATAACACCCTCGGAGGTTCTCCGGCATCCCTTTTTCAACCCTAAGAGTTCCCCTTGCATTGACATGAGTGCTGAAAGACCACAAAACCCTGTGGTCTTTCAGCACCCTTCAAACTTGAAATGCAAGAGATCACAGAAAATCAACTGCAGTTTCCAAGACTCGGTTGAATTTACTCAGCAAGTATTCGTCCCCACGTCAGCTAACCCATCCTTCAGCTCAGATGAGCTCAAAATAGTTAAAGGGAGCATTTTGGGAAACCACTACAAAGTAGAGGCTTTCCTCGGAGAAGGGGGCTTTGGTATTGTAGCCAAATGCCGTAATACCAATACCAACCGAGCTGTGGCTGTTAAAGTTAATAAGAACCGCACCGATGTTCTGCAACAGGCAAAACTGGAAATTTTCAT